AATAGTTAGTAAATTAAATAGTTAATCTCTTGGATACCTTTTGTTTTTTTTTTTGACAAATATATTTGGATGAATTTTCCTTTGTTAATAAGGTACAAGCTCATAATAGTTCCTACTTGATAGATGTGGAATCGGGTGGTTGGGGTCCGGGTGATATTGAAAATACACAGAGTCTGAGATTTTATTTATTTTTTTTTTAATTTTTTGATTTGGTTGTACAAAAATTTGCACACATTTACGAGGAATCATATAAGATGGCATTTTGAGAGAGGTAGAGAGATATGATAGACATCTCGAGTTTTTTTAATCTAAATGAATTGTGATGAGGATTGGGCTGTGGAACAAAAGAGGCTACACATGAAGAATTAACCATTAACTATTTAATATTCTACCCATTTGCAACTATTCAATTTCAAGGTCATGTGTTTTTCTATGGGTAGTTTGAAACTAAATAAACAAATTTAAGTTAGGCATTAAATTGTTCACCGATTGTGAGTAATTTGATAAATTTCCCATCAAAAATTTCATCATTGCTAGGTTAATTATTAAAAAACATCAATAATACATGCTCTGTGATTCAAAATTGAAATGTAGGGGGAAGTGGTATGGTGTCCAAATTTATTTGATGCATAAAATATCATATTTTACGTGTCTTTTTCTTTAAAGGAAAAACTGAAGCATATTTACCTTAGAGAACAACCAATAATAGAGAGGCTCGAGACCACTTTTAGGAGTATTTCCAAAGTAACAAGAATTTATGGATGTAACCCACTCAATCACCAACAAGAACTACTCTATTTAGGAGTATGTCCAAAGTAACAAGAATTTATGGATGTGACCTTCTCAATCCCCAACAACAATAACACTTAGGAGTATTTCCAAAGTAACAATAATTTATAGATGTAACGTTCTCAATTCACAACAACCAACCTAAAAAAGGTATGGATTTATAGACATTCATGTTTACTTGGAAAAAGAACTTTTCAAGATTGACATTGAATAGGAGCCTTCTAGTTTTTGAAGATCATATGTAAGTAGGGGTGGCAAAGGATCCGGCCCCAACCCGGGACCCGGCGGGTATACCCGACATGGGTCAAGGTATGAGTTTAATGTTTGGACCTGCGGGTCAGGTCTGGGTTCAAAACCTGGACCTGAACACTATTCAGGTTTGGGTCTGGGTCCGATTGGACCCGACCCATACCTGTAAACTGTTGGAGATAAAATACGTCAAGCCCTATTCATTTTGGTGTATTAAGGGTCATATACAATAAGAATTCGTAATCATATTTAGCTATTAAACGACAAATCTAACAGCTTGAAATCTAATTGTAAGTGATTGTCACCTTGTTGTCAATAATATATATATATATATAATAAAAGAAAGGCAAATAAATAAATAAAAGCTTATAGTGATGGTGGCAATGTACCCAGCCAGACCCGGGATCCGACAGGTACAGATCCAACTTTTTGACCCGACGAGTGGGGTCTGGGTCCAAACAAGTACCCGAATACATTCGGGTCTAGATCCGGATCCGGGTCCAATCGGACCCGACCCATTGCCACCCCTATATGTAAGTGCCTGAGAACTCTAATTTTATTTCTAAAAAATACTAATTTGGTGATATTAAAGTGAGTCCTAGAATTTTTTTTTTTTTAAAAAAAAACCTCCTAAGTAAGGCTTTACGTGAGGAGAATATGACATTAGCTGAACCACCCTCAATAATTGCTCTATTGTACCAAGGAAGTAGGCCTAAAACCCATTGTGTTAGTTGATTCAACGCTGCTTCATTTGCAAAACGACGACATGGACCCGCAAAACTATACAGTAAGCTGTCTTGGTTATCTCGAAGGATGCCCCCTATACTCTTAGGGCTTTGTTTGCTCCCTATCAAAATTCAACTTCACTCAATTAGGTAAAAGAGGCTTCCACCAGCTGCTTTCAGACCCTTTCTATGTCCAAGCTTTGCCAGGTGATTCAAATTAGTGTTATCTTCCTTTGAAACACATGAATTCCTTTCTAACCGAAGTGCACCCCTCAATAGAAGCAAGTATTTTTAATTTGAAACACTCCGTACCATTAGGATTGTGTACTATAAGACTATTTATTTTTAGTATAAAGAGATCATAATCACATATAGCCGCCAAATAAGAAATACAACGGGTTGCAGATATCATAAAGTTTGAAAACAATTATATTGAACTTTAAGTTCGGTCAATGAAACAAACCCACAGTGGGATGAGTTGGACTTGTTGAAAATGTGGCCTTTTATATCATTTTTCTCCCATAAATTTATTTTTCAATGATGGTACAAAAGCCATTTACTGTATCGTTGAAATTCTATGTGGTTAACATGAGGCAATGATACATACTTGGATCATTTCGAGCTTTAATATGATGTTGAACTAGACAAAAAACCCAGTGTCACTGGATGAAAAAGTCAATGGTGTGTTTGGATTCCTTGCTAGAATTGTTTCTTATATATTATAGATATATAAAATTTATTTAATTCATAAATACCTTTTATCAAATTGTAGGAATGCTTGTATGACATCCTATTATGTGAGTTGTTAGTGGACCGATGATAGGTTTGGCTCAGCTCATTACGTAGGATTAACAATTTAATGACAACTTGTTAATCCTAATTAGCTGTACTTAAGAGAATTAAGGCAGAAATTACACTTGGATCTCAACCCCGATATATATCATAAATGAGAGAGTTACAAACAAAATATGTTCTCATCCTTATAACTTGTTTGATAGATGGGGTTCTATTCCCAGTTTCTAACGAACTGAAAGCATTAGTTTTCCAAGGCAATGGCATAGACTGTTCCATCTAAGAAGACACAACCGGCCGAAATGCTATAGAAATAAACAACTTAAAATACGTTGATTTCATTGAAAACTCACAAGGAGTTAGCTTCCAAAATAACATAATTCCCTAGGGGAATAAATAAATAAATATATACAATTAGATTATTTATTTTTGATATAAGAGATCACAATCATTATTTGATTGTTAGATGAGAAATCCAGTGATTAGAGATGTATCATTGATTTGGGTTTAAGCCTAAACTAGAATATATGTATTCTTGTCATACATTCTAACAATATCATATTTTACATTCAATGGCTAAAAGTGACGGTTACCTCCTTGTATCACAAATGAATGATCTTACAATATATAATCCCATTAAATAATTTAGGTCGGGCGCCGGAAATACTCTTGATTATCTGCAAAATATTTTTCGCATCTAATGATAAAATTTAAAGCTCTATAAATGGTATAGATAAAGCAAATCTATAAAATGCATTTTTCTTTTTTAAAAAAAAGTGGGCGGTGTAGATAATGTGTTACAAAATGCACTATTTTTAGGACTTGAGATCTTATTTTTTTTTTCCTTGTACATTCATCTCAAGGTCCATATGTCCTATTGCAGGGTTTTTTAAAGGCAAAACAATAGTTTTAGTAGATTTTTTATGTGCACTTTATTTCTATATTATAAGGTTTACACCTCATATTAACTTTTTCTATATTGGAAACATATTATTGCAAACTTTTTTTAGACTACTCATTTTAATTATTTACCAATCAACAAACCTGTGCAAGATCACGGATCTAAAAAATAATGCGTCTAGGATGACTTATAATGTGATATTTGTCCACAATCCATATCCAAATATGAATTTTTTGAAAGTGACTGCATTTGAAAGAAAAATATACAATAAAATCATTTATCTTTGGTACAAGATGGTCATAATTAATCTTGACTATTGAATGTGAAATTGGGGGGTTATATTTATTCCTTTGACCAAGCTATCATGTTTCATATCCGATGGTTGTAAATAATTGTGACCTATTTGTACTAAAGGTAAATAGTCTCATTATATACATGGCAAAATTTATATAAGGTATTAGCTTTATACTGTAGAGGTAAGGTACACCTAAAAAACCATCAAAAAATGTTATTTCATCACTAGAAAATTCTCCAATTGATCATATTGGCCTTGATATATATGGATATGCAAGAAAAACTGAATTTCAAATCATAAAAATAGTGCATCTTGTAAAACAATATCTAGATTGTCCATTTTCAATATTTTCGAGGACTCATGGATCTGCTAGATTTGTACCATTTTTGGAGATTTCAATTTCACTATAGGAGTGAAAAATAGACTTTTAAGCATTGATAAGGGTTTTAACACCGAAAATATATCGTTTGATGAGATTTTGAGGTACACCTTACTATGATTGTTTAAGGGTGACGCCTTATACAAACATTCCCTTTACATACAACCCCTTTGAATAATTACAAGAAAAATTGTTTCATGCGGGCTGGACAGTATTTCTACATATGCGGTCCAAAAAGTGTAATGCATCCATCTTAAAGATGGATGCAAGTAGGTGTTCCATCTACAAACAATGGAAACGAGAGGTCCAATTTTTTTCTTACTGGAATTATTATTATTAGTTTTTAAAATTTATTTATTTTTTCATATTCATAATGTCCAAGTTAGAAATTAGATGTCCTTAAAAATTATAAAATCCAGGCCATACATGTCCTTAAAAATTATAAAAAAAATCCATGCCAAAAATAGATTTATTAAGAGGGCCGCATTTATGCTTGGGCGCATAGAAACCGGCTCTTTGAATAATTACGATATTCTAGAGTCTCTAATCCAGCTAAAGTGGGTTTGGCCCTCTGGCCCCTAGCGCTTCATTACGACAGTCAACTCCATTACAACGAGTAACACAACCGTGAAAACCGACTAGGACCATTTCCGCAAAAACCGAGAGGATCAAGGGTAATATAGTAATGTTCACTACACGGAGCAGCTCAAAAAATATAGCCTCTGCACCCCTTCCTTGAAATTCACGGCAATGGAGTTGCAGAAACTGAAGAGCCACTCTCTCTCCTCATTTCTTTCCTTCTCTTAAACGAAAACTCCATGGAATACGAAAGGATCCATAAACCTCAGGTACATTCACGCTCTCGCCCTTTCCCTCCTCGGTATCTGTGTAAAATTCAGTCGTGTCATTTTCCTCACTGTTCAAGTCTTTGGGCTTCTTCGATCTGTACAAATCGAGCCACTGAACCTCACGTTCTAGCCTCTCATGGATAATGTTTACTCGCTTTTGGTCTCATTTCTGTGTTTTTGGGGATTTTCTGAGTTTTAGTAACTGAAATGGAGGTTGTGAAGTTGCAGGTCGTGAGATCACTTGAGGTTCTTGCTGAATTTCTCTTTTTTTGTCGGTGACTTGATTGTGACTGGATTTGGACCTGTTAAGGGCTTTTTTGAGGGTTGCTGCTGTTGAGCTCTAGTTTCTAGGGCTTTTCTTGTGCTTGATTGGAGCGTGTTTTGAGCTTTTGAGGGCGAGCTTTTGTTCGGAGCTGTTTATTTGCTCCCTAGGGTTATAGGGGTTCGAATTGTGTTTTCTAGGTCTACTTTTGTCGTGTCCTAGACTACACATCAAAGCATCCTTAGCATTTGTTTTTGTTTTGTTGTTGGAATTTAGAAGTGGTACAGTCTCACTTTTAGTCTCATCCCTCTGTTTTATAAGGGTTTTGTAAGTTTTAGTAATGGTGCTGGCTGAGAATTTGCAGGTCGTTCGATCTCTTGTAGTTATTGGTGAAAATTGTGGTTGTTTTACGTGATTTGGCTTATGACTTGACTTCGTATTTGGATTGTGGCTTCTTTTAATGTGTTTCAACGGTTTCCTGTGTTGAAGTTTTATATCTAGGACCCTTTTGTGGTGAATTCCTGTGTAACTTTCTTGCTGACATTTTGATTTGATATTTTAATTTTTAGGGTTTATCTAGGATTAGGGGTCGGAATTGTGTTTTCTAGGTCTAAATTTGTGTTTTTTAGTGTTTATTTTTTTAGTTTTTGGTAATGTTATAGTCTTGCTTTCTAGTCTCCCTTCTCTGTTTTCTAGAAATTTTCTGCTTAGTTCTGTAGCAGAAGCGGGTGAGACTTTGCTGGTTATAGGATTACACTTGGTCTTTACTGAGTTTATCTATTTTTTGTCCATGCTTTTATGTCTATGATTTCCTGTGTGTTTAGATTTGGACGTTTTAGTGTTTTTTTAAGGATATGTATTGTTGAAGTTATGCTTCTAGGGCTTCTCTTGTGTTCGCTTATTATGTTTTTTTTTTTTTTGGTATATGTATTTTTTAATGGACAGGCCATCATTTGGAGATTCTAGATTTCTTATAGGGTTTAGGGAATTGAATTGTGTTTCTGGGGCTTATTTTGTTGTTTCCAGTTTCCCCCCCTAGTGGAAGGTTTAGCTGTCAAAGATGATTTTTGATCTAAGATGCCTTAAATTTTTATTGGTTATCTTTCTCATTAAGGTTTTTAAGTGCTTATGATTAGCATGTATTTTTTTTGCAGGAAGGGACGCTATCTCCTACTAAACTCAGACTCAAGCTTCTGGGAATTCAGAAGAGCAGAAAGGAGGAAGAAGAATATCAAGACTCCGCACAATTTGAACCTCAAGATCTTGATGAACAAGGTGAATGCAAAAACGTGCATGCGTTTTTTTTTCTCCTTTCGCTCTTTTATTAAGAAATTGGTTTTGGAAGATAAGTTCCTTTTGCTTAGAGATGTGAGTTGGAAGATAGTTTCTCTTTTCTCCATTTTCTTGGAGATCTTGGTTGGAAGACAAGTTCTCTTTCCCTAAATTTTTTTTCTAATGTTAGGTGTGAGCAACTCAGGGAACTGCAACCATTTGACAGAAGGCTCGACTGTAACTTTAGCTAGTGAAGTAATTCATGATTTGAGTGTCCCATCCACAAAGGATTACCGGCCAAAGGAGAAAGCTCAAAACACTCCCAAGTCATCAAATAGTCTTGAAAATGGAAATTTTCCTCTGCCCCTTAGAATTCAAGAAGAGAGTAACACTGACTATGACAGTGGGCATGAGAGCACAGCTAGCTCTGTGTTCGAGTTTCACAAGGGAGACAAAGTTTCTTCACATCGGTCAAGTTTAGGGCCATTCGGAAGGTCACCCCCTTCCAAATGGGATGATGCAGAGAAATGGGTTGATACCCAGTATGCAAATAAACCAAAGTTGGGGGTAACTCATATGCAGGGTACTCATGGCCTTGGTTCTAAGAAAGCTGGTTTCCCTGGTCATGGGGTAAGGCAAGTGGCCCCTGGAGCTAACAATTTAGCTGTGAAGGTTGTAACCGAGGCGCCTGTTGCTGAACAAAGGTCTCTGGTTCCTGATGACGCAGATACAAAGAGGATTGACCCAAGCCAAGCTAAGCGGGAGATTGGGGCACAAAAGTTCTCGTTTCCTTTGACTGGAGCCAATACTACAAAACCAACAAATTGGCATATTGACCCATGCCCCAGTTCAGATGGATTGAGTTATCAAGTTGTGGATCAGAGGCAATTCTCTTGTGGTGACTCATTTGCGAAGCCTTCATTTCTTGTGGAGAAGCCTCTGGTTGATTCAGAAGGTAAATATTTATTTTGTTTATCCTGATTGTGTTTATTTTGTTTATCTTGATTTTGTTTATTTTGTTTGAGTGCTTCCTGAAATTTTACCCGAATTCGATTATAGCAAAAGGAAGATAAAATTTGGAAGCAATTTAGATTAAAATAGATCAAATATAGATTTTTCAATCATTTGGTGTGACATTCTATGTTTTCAAATTCGAATGGAAAGGTATATCATGATTGATGATTCTTCTGGAGAAAATGAATTCATTCGATTATGAAACGAGTAAGTGCTTGTATGGTATTTATGAACAAACAAACATAACTAAGGTTGTCATGTGTGTGTATAGACAATTTGAGAATAGGAGTACAATGTCAAGATAGAAAACCTTCATAGTTGTAGATTACAGCGGTGAATAGGGAATACTACGATGGTAAGGTGTTTTCTCCCTTGTGGATTACAGCGGTGAATTGGGAATACTATGATGCTAAGGTGTTTTCTGCAGGAGATAAAACATAAAAGCTGTGAGGAATAAAGGAACAGTTAGATGAAGGGTCACAGGGTTGATAGAACATCTAGATGAAGGGTCACAGGGTTGATAGCTTTGTTGAATCAGAGCATTGACTAGAAATAAATGTAGAACATCATTTGTTTCTGTATTTTATATATTATTATTGTTGTTTTTGAGGGGAACACATATTGCTTCTATGTTCTAACTGACCATGAGAAAGAAATGCAAAATATGGGCAACTAAATGCGCGGAGGCAACTAGTGGGATTGGCTTATTCGTCTTGATTGAAGGCACATGTCTAATGGGATGTACAGGTGGACATTTATGAGTTATGTAGCATTAAAGGGAGTGGCAGCCCAAGTTCCTGAATGATATGCATGGATATAAGAATCTCATAAGTGATGCTACATGGTGATGTTTATTTTCAATTACACTATAAAGTATAGACAAGCTGGCCACTAGATCCACAATCAGCATTAGGTTTTTGAGCATGATGTACTTTGGACAAGTAACAAGGAGGCTTTGAGTTAAGCATAATATTAAAATTATCAATAGCAAAAGCAGATAATGCAACGGAGCTAGTCGCTTGAAAAATTGGTAAGCATGAACATGAATGCTTGAAGGAAGATGTACTGCTCATGTGATGGAGATTTTCTAAATTTGGTAAACTTGAACATGAGGAAGATGTACTGGTCATGTGATGGAGATTTTCTAGAATTGACTCTTTAGTCATACAAATATATGGGATAAAATGTTACTCGATAAGGAGGTTCCTTAAGGATGAGGGGCTGGTTAGTCAAGCTATGCTGGAGTAAAGAGGTATTGCTGAGTACTGACTGATAGAGTATTTTGAAATAAACTGAGACTAGCCCATGGGCAGCGGAAACCTATTCTTCTTGCGTAATAGCTTAGCTACTAGGAGCATGGGTATGTTGTTGCTTCAGATAGTTTCTTATTAAGTACATAAGGCTTCTGCTAATTCAGTCTCGATGATGTGTTGAAGGTTGACATGTTGCTAGCATTGAGGGATGTCTGTCTTTAGCCTGAACATCTGCAATGGCACACTCTAACATTAAGATGAGCACAGATGTGACTGGGTGAGTAAAAACCATTCTGACTCTTGGCAAAGGAAGGTGGACAATGATCAATGATTCAAGTCACTCTGACAATAGGTATGTTGTTGCTTCTGCTAGTTTCTTATTAGATACATGAGTTCTTGTTAGTAAGCGCACAAAAGCTTATGGTGGTGGTAGTCAGTTTCAAATGATGTGTAGAAGGTCTAAATTTCTCAAAAAAAAGGTCTATATGTTGACAGCATTAGGATGTCCGTCTTTAGCATGAACATCTGAAATGACACAGTCAAAATTTAAGATGGGCACTGGTGTGACTGAGTGGAGTGAAGAAGTGTTCCAAACTCTAGACAAAAGGTCCATAAAGAAGGCGGACAATATCAATGATTCAAAACCTAAGTAGAAGAGGGAGCCAATTCTTGTCAAAGCATTTCAAGGTTTTGTGTAATAAAAATATGATACAAAGACATTGGCAGGATCGACAGAGCAAATAATTGAATATGGACTGAAGAAGGATAGGAGATGGGTTGCATGTTTACTACCATGTGCGAATATTAAATTGCAGCTCAATCCACCACATTGGAGAAGACAGGAAATTGGGCCCTTGAAAATGACAAAGCCAAACAAGACATGTTTTGAAGTGAAAACGAGTTGATTTAAGACATAAATCAGGGCACTGCAGGTAGCTAAGACACCAATGTGATGTGCAAAAAAGAGAACTAATAACTGGTAGAAACTCTCAAAAGTTGGATGGCTAATGGGAAAAAGAAGACAGGTAAAAAGATTTGATGAATTAATGAAAATTTTTAGAAAAAACGTGGCAAAAAGAGGATCATCTTCTGATGGCCAATTTTCAAAATGAGAAAATGGCAAGACATTTTTACGTCTTTCTTTCATATAGGAAATTAACTAACTGATGCATGTGGGGACACAGCAGATAGAAGAAAGTGGTTTGTGCATGTGATAGTGTGGACATCCGTGTCAAGCACTTGGAAAAATAAATCTTGATAGCTTATAAATGGAGAAAACATACATTACTAATTTGTGTAGTTGAACTTTATGGTGATTTTGTGAAAACATCTAAACTGTGTGCCTTATGGCAGGTAAATATGGGTTCCTTGTTCAGTAAATGTATTGATTTAATCATGAAATGGGGAAAGAAAATCTTCCATGTACACTAGTACAAGCACATCATACAAAAATGACTTGAAAGTACCCTTGTGGATACATGTGCATATCAGGAGAAATGCATCGAAATAAAAAGATGATATCTAATACATGTAGAACTCCATCAATTCTTAGCTGGGATTCTGATTTTTTTTTGGGGAATTTTTTCGCCCCCCCCCCCCCCAACAATATATATATATATATATATATATATATATATATAGTTAGTTAGTTAGTTATAGTATATTATTTAGTTTTAGGTTAGTTCGTAGTCGTGTACGTAGTACGTTACTAACGTTAGTAGTAGTTGGTTCGGTTT